TTCTTTTCAAGCAGGTCAATTAGTTTGCAGTTAGGGTCAGTTGCCCCTGGTCTGCTGTGATGGACAGTACAGATCACCCTCCGTTCACCACTCTGGCCTGTCTTTTTCAAGCTTGTTTCTCCCGTTTTGGTGTTGTTACCTTGAATCGCCAGCAGGTGGTGCTATCTCAGCTGCTCACCCCATAAGGGGTGGGGCCGGACAGAAACCGACAGAGACTGGAGCTAGATTCCTGCCTCAGGGCACAGGAAGGGGACTCACGGCGGGCAGGATGTCTCGGTCACGGGAGAGGTGGCAGCAATCCCAGCAGATCTTCCTGAAGGGGCTTCAAGGACTGAAGTCATGGATCGCCTCCCACCCGGGTGGTGTGATGTGCTAGTGACGGTGGCGTCTGCGCTGCGGTTGCTGTCCAGTCCGCTGCGATGTCCCAGCGGTGAAAACGACCGAGCTCCGTATGAAAGCAGGCTGCAATTTTGGGGTCCGCAGCCCTCAGGGCGAGAGCCAGAGACCCACTGCAGTTCTCCTTTTCAGAGGGTTTCACAGACCAGGTTAACCCGTCGCCACCTTGCCGGAAGTCCCTTCATGACTCTTTAGAATGCTTTTTTGTGACTACCCGCCATCGCACATGGCCCTTGCTTACATATGGCTGTGATAATTTTCTTCATGGAAAACATTACCAGCTGGATGAATCACTGTTTTTCACAGGTCCTGTGTCCCTCAGTCTGGAAAGTTACTATCCTTCTTCTCAGCTTGTACCCTTTGCAATATGCGAAGCATTCTCAAGAGTAGTGATTTATGTAGAGTAAGAAATTGGCATAAAACAATTTCTTGGCAGTTATAGATTTAAAATCCCACGTTCCAGCAATTTGTGACTGACCCCAAGGTCCATGATTTCGCTGGGGTACAACGTGAATTAGATATTCTGAGGGTTTTATATGGGAGTAATCAGATGACATTGAAGTTATTTAACTTTTCTACCTCTGCTTTCCTAATTTGATTAGTGGATAAGATAGCACCCTCCTCAAAGGATTTGGGGAGAAAACTAAATGAGATGGTACATATTAAAGCATAGTATAAGCTCGTGGTGTTCAGCTTGGAGCAGCTGCATTGCCAGATGGAGATCAGAGACCAAGAGACATGGCAGTGCCCTGGAGGCCAAGCTGCAGGCCCAGCACAACTTGAGAGGTTCTACGGGAAACCAAGGCTGCTGCAGCACCCAGCTGGCCCAGTTCAGTGCTTGACAGCCGGTGTGGAGGCCCAGCTGGCTGAGATCCTAGCCAACCTGTGCCTGCAGAACCAACCATACTATCAGAGACTACTGGCCGTCCAGGCGACTGCAGCCTGTTCTGGGCCTGCTGGAGGGTAAGGCTGCAAGCTGCCCTGGAACGCCCATGCAGTTACCAAGGACAGGCCTGTCAGGCCCTGCATCACCAATCCCTGCACAGTGTGTGCCCCTGGTTCCTGCTGTAGGCCCTGCAAACCTTGGGAGGTTACAAATAGTTTTGGTCTGAGCTTTAAGTGTACCCACCACCCATACCTGTGTACATTTTACCCAGTAGGTGATTTTTTTATCCCTCTACCCCTTACCCCCACTTCTGAGTCTCCAGTGTCCATTATACCATTCTCTATATCTTCCTGCAACATCTTTTGATGCTAGTTATTCCAGGGTTAACCCAAAGGGTTTGTGAGGACAGAAGGAGCATTGGTGGAGGACTGGTCCTGCTTTTCTAATGACCATCAGACTGCAGTGACCATGCCTCAGTGTGTTCACAGGGAGAACACCAGAGCTGTGGCCTGGCTCTGAGCCAGGCCCATCTAGTCCTCCTCACTGAAGGCTTCTTATTGTTCTGTGTTCTGATGGTCTTGACAGGTGTGATGCCGCTTTGACCTTTCTTGCAATTCCCAAAACCCCTTTATAAATCTTCTAATAAGTATTCCTCTTGTAAAGCAGAAAATACCTCATAAACATAGTAGAGGGTTTAGCATTTAAAGTATTTGGTAAGTATTTGGCCAATAACTGTTAGCAAAGAAATGAAAAGTAGTCAGTATGTCACATAAAACAAGTTCCTCCATTCTTGGATGGCCTTGCCTGGCTGTGTGCCACTATCCATTATGCTTGTTCAGAGGGGCATACAGGTTATTTCATAAAATTTGTCATTAAATCTAAGGTCAGCTAAGTTTATGCTTAGCCTAAACATTGTAAATCACTGAGAAATACTTGTTTACTCATTATCAATAACTTACTGAGTATGCAAATGTGTGTTAAGAGAGGGAGTCAAATCCAAATGGTTTTAGACATGACACATCTGAAGCAAACATAGAATACAGTGAAGGAACAATATTCTTTACCTCTTGTGGCTCATGCCTTGTGGCCATAGTATTGGGCAGTGCAGATACAGAACACTTCCATGCCTACATTCTACTTATGAGGAAACTAGGGCTCTAAGTGTTTGGGAAAATTAGTTATGGTACTATATCTATACAATGGGTACTACAAAGCCATTAAAAGTAGTGCTATAGAAGAATATGTGATAACTTGGAAAGATGTTCACCATTTACTGTGAAAACACACATGTACACACATGCACGCACTACCCTATGCATAGGGAAGGCATGGAGGGGCCATGCCAGCACAGCACGGGTTGAGAGGTGTGTCCTTGGGTTCTCTCTCACCTTGTGCTCCCATGGTTTCAGGGCGTGAAGGAGCTGTGTCTGCTGCTGCTTAACCAGTCTCTCCTGCTGCCGTCCCTGAAGCTTCTTCTCGAGAGCCAGGATGAGTGTCTACGTACGATGGCACTGGAGCAAATCTCAGCTGTCACTACGGTATGCCCAGTTGAATTTGCTTTTTTTTCAAATGTTTGAAAGGAATGAATTAGCACTTTTATATTCATAAACAATATCATGGTTAGTTTAAAGCTACTTTGTCTGTGGTATTCTCCGATCACAATAGCTATTCCTGTTTTGTCCAAGCAGTATGTATTTGTTTATTTTACAAATATTTACTAAGCATTTCCCATGAACCAGATGCTATGTTTCGGTGCACAGAGTACAATCTAAATAGGGAAACAGTTTTTCTAGAGAAGTAGTATATTAGGCTGTTTAAGGAAAACAAAACTGCCACAGACTAGCAAACTAGTTCACTTGCCACTTGAAGTTTGAGTCTAGGCCATCATCCTAAGTGAAGTAACACAAGAATGGAAAGCCAAATACCAAATTTACAAATGGAAGCTAAGCTAAGAATATGCAAAGACATAGAGGATGGTATAATGGACATTGGAAAATAAGAACAGGGAGAGCAAGAAGCGGGGGAGGGTTGAAAAATCACCTGTCCGATACAATGTGCACAAGTGGAGGTGGTGGGTACACTTAAAGCCCAAACTTTTTTGCCACTATACAGTGCATCTAAATAACCCAAAACCATTTGTGCCCCCTAAAGTTACTAAATTTTATTTTAAAATTGAATCTAGGAAGCGCCTATTATCATACAGGTTTTCCATCCCTAGATGTATGTTTGGTTATCTACTAATAAAAGGTGAGAAAGTGGTTTCATGTGTGTTTACCGGCACCATCTGAAATCTCAAACTCCTGTTTCCTTTGGCAACCTAAACCACCATTGAAGCAACTTCTTGGCTTGAAGAATGATGTACTGAAGTCAAGTCTTGAGATTTCTTCCTCAAGGCCGGTTGTCTTATTATGATGATTAAGGAAGAAACTTTCTCTTCCCATTTAAAATTTTCCACTTTAGGATTAGATAGCTTAGGGTTGTGTTTTAATGAACTCATGTTGTACTCTCCTTGGAGGGAAATCTTTCTTTCGTTTGAAGTCTGTGTGTATGTCTGAGTATGTACACACACATACACGTACACAGACATGCACACATATGTATATTACATTTTATACACACACACACACACACACACACACACACATCGTTTTTTTTAAAGCAAAAATGTTACAGAATGTCTTCTAGAGACCATAAGGGAAAGAAAACCCTAGAACAGAGGTATATGCTTGATACCTAAGACAGTGAAAAGATTGATGAAAAGACATCATTGATGCAAAATGGTATGAATGACAGGATACAGAAAATTATGTAAATGGTTACAGAAAGTAGAATATAATTGTATTTGGAAACAATCATTATGAACAAAATGAGCAAAATCGAATGTCTTTATTCATTCAGATGTAATTCAAAGTAATATAAAACTTCTGCAAAACTTTTATCATAAAATGCATCTCTAGTAGCTGTTAATTAATCAGAACAGGGGCCTCTTTGGGACCTGATCTGAAGTAGGGAGTTGAGGAGACCTGTCTTTTGGTTGCCTCCCTGCCTATCTGTGCTAAAGAGAAAGTTGCATAACTATGGGAATTTATATGAAACTGAGAATTACAGTGAGTTCTTTTCCTAGCCTATTTTTTATTGTCACTCAAGAAATCAGGAAGAGAAAACTGAAGAAAACCAGCCTGTATATTTTCAGTGCATCTTTCTCTTTCCACCATCATACACTGTGTTAGTATCTCTGCTTAGGCGTTCTCACTAAAATTTGCCATGGGCCTCTTTGAAAATCAAGCAGTGATGTATTATCCATTGCCTTTCTGTATTCATCCTGCATAGAGCTTTCTTGATATGCTCCTGGATTCCATAGGCAAGTATATCAGTTTGCATTTTAAAGATTCTTTATCTCAAGTGCAACTGTCAGAACTGCAACTAGAACAGGGACTCCCTAACTGCTAACTAATCTTGCTACCTACTCAGCATACCCCCACACACAGTGACTATTGAAATAAGCACCTAAATGGGAACAAACAGCATCCAAGACATTGTAAAATGGCACTAATTTACTTCCATACACTTTCATCTGCACGTTTGATATGCCACCTTGTGCTTAGGTTGTGGTTTTATAACTGCTCTGCAGACTTCACTATGTGAAGTTTGCCTGTGGTTGTGATGATAGCACACAAAACTTCTGTGCCCTTCAGATGCAAAATCAAAACCACGGGTATAAACTGTTGAGATGCATCACTTGCCCACCATTGAGATCCTTGCTTTTAGAAATTTGGTGATAAGACCTAGCTGTGATTTCTCTATGCTAAGTTGAATGTTCACATTAGGCTAGATGGTCTGTGCCTTTCATATATGTTCCACAAAAATGCTGAGTATCTTTGGACTTTTTGCATCTTTCAAAGAGCTAAGATTTTGCCCAGTTTTTTATTTTTAAAGCATTTGTTAACTTTTTATTTTGAGATAATTTTAAATTCACCTTCAGTTATAAGAAATAATACACCAAGATCTATCATACTCTTCACCCAGTTGCTTCCAATGGTAACATCTTGCATAACTATAGTATATAGGTTGAACATCTCTAATCTGGAAATTCGAAATGCCCTAAAATTTAAAACTTTTTGAACACCAATATCATGTCAAAGGACATGCTTATTGGAGCACTTCAGATTTCAGGTTTTCATCTTAGGGATGCTCAACCAGTAAGTATAATGAAAATATTCCAAAGCCTAAAACAGCATGATAGTTCTGGTCCCAAGCATTTTGGATAAGGGATGCTCAACTGGCAATATTATGACTAGGCAGTTGAATTGATACAATCTATCAACATTATATAGATTTTACCAGTTTTGCAAGTACTGGTGTGTGTGTGTGTGTGTGTGTGTGTGTGTGTGTGTGTGTGTGTGTATGTGTATATGTGTCTGTCTCCATGTGACATTGTTACCTGTAGCATCGCGTGACCACTAACTGCAGTCAAGGTACTGGACACAAGGATCCCTTATATTGATCTTTACAGCCACCACCACCTTCTTTCTCCTCACTTCCAAAGCAACTTCTGGCAGCTACTAATCTATTCTCCATCTCTATAATTTTGTCATTTGAAGAATGCTATAATATATAAATGAAGTATGAAATGACCATAATTCATCATTGCTCTCAACACCATGAAGTGGTTGTGCTACACTTTTCTAAGGGAAGAGTTTCAGTGGACAGTTTTGCAGGACTCATGTCTAGCTATTTTTACATCATTCTTGGCATTGTGGTAGAAAATATAAAACTTTTGCTTTCCTTTTTCTTTGATTTTATTTCACGATTCACTCTGTCTATTAGTAGGGGGCTTGAGCTCATCAGTAACTTTAGTTTTCCCCTTATTTGTTGTTGCTGGTGGTTTCTGTTGACATTAAAAGGAAAAACATCTGGCAAAAGGACTCCTCTGATAGCATTTGCTCCTGCATAGTGTGTAGATCCAAGTGGAAAAATGCCCCCACTTGTTTGCTAATAGCACGTATTATTTTGCTATTCATTATAAAATCCTGACAGCTTTATAGGTATTTACAGTTGAAAGAATGATGCTTAAGTGCTAATGCCAGAGATTGTACTGACTTCCTCCAATAGTAGTACTCATTTCTTTCTCTAAGCTTTTCTGAAATTGTAAGCCTCTAGTGTTTAGCATGTAACCTTTTACAAATGACTAGCAGCCTCTTTCCTGGGCCAGAAACAGAAAGTTCTTCTTTGAGATTGTATTGTTGATGAATAATTAAAACCCTATGTGGTATAGACTGCTGGATTACCTTCTCCATCAGTCTCAGTGAGATTGAGCGCTCACCTTCAAAACCTTGTCTCTCCAAGAAGGGTGCTCCTGCTGGTGTGTGCTTGACTCTTCATCCCTAGAATATTTTATATTCCAATGGAAGCTTCTTGACTCATTTCATCAAAGTAAGCAGATACATATTTGTAATCGTTTTATATACTGAAATGTTCCCATTTCACAATTCCAGATTTGTAATGGCTCCTGGTCTTCCATGCTTCCTCCTCTTTGCTTCTACTCAACACCTCTACCCTACCCCACATGTCATGGGTTGTCTTGTGCTACCCTGTCTATTAAAATAGTCATTCGTGGGATTATAAAGAAAGTGTTTGAGACCTTTAGCACCTAAGTAAGGGTTTCTCCCTGATGCTAATAGTTACCATCTTTCAAGTCCCATCTCTTTGCCAAGTATTATAATAGCCATATTCTCACTTTATCTTCTTAATAATCCCAAGAGAAGGTACTATTCTGATTTCACTGATGAAAACACTGAGACTCAGGAATCACACAGCTAGTAAAAGCTAGGGCTGAAACTTGAATCCCAGACTTACTACCCGAAGTCCATGCTCAACCATACTGTTCCTAATAACTAAGAAGACTATATCATATTGGAAAGAGGTTATCACTGCAGAGAAATAAAGTTGTCGAAAACACTTTGGGGCATATAACATTAGCCCTGAAAGAGACTACAGCAGAACTAGTCTAATAGGTCTCCCGGTCAGGCGTCCTTGTTGAGCCCACTCACCCATCCAGGTTCTGGCTGGGCACTGCAGGAGACTCATGCCATTCTGAGTAGAGCTCCTGGCATGAGAGCACTTCCTCATGGAATTCTGCACCCTTTTATCTTAAACATGTCAACTTTTGTCCTGCCCAGTGGAGTAGAATTAGTAAGGCCCTTCTTCCAGTGACAGTTCTTTGCATATTTAATCAATGTGATTCTTGTTCTCTTTAATCTTGCATGAAGAACCTATCCTCATTATTTATGGTGATCAGTGTCCAGGTTGGAGGGAGAACCTTAATGATTCTCAGAAAAGCATGTGTGATTGACACGTTTATAAAACCAAGAAGCCTTTCTTTCTTTTTTTCTCTTTTTCTTTCCTTCCTTCCTTCCTTCCTTCCTTCCTTCCTTCCTTCCTTCCTTCCTTCCTTCCTTCCTTCCTTCCTTCTTTCTTTCATTCATTCTTTCTTTCTTTTCTTGTTTTATTATAGAGTTGTGGGGTAGAAGTGAGGATT